ACTGCTAGTCGATTGTAGCAACAGAAAAAGGCAGTTCCAGCAAAATTTGATGATGGTTCCAGCAAAATAAAAATCTCATCACCAAATATATGTGTCGATTGTAGCAAAGAAAAGAACTACTTCCAGCAAAAATCGTTGTCGGATGCAGCTCCTCGTCACCGCGGTTGCAGCTCCATGAACCTGGGGTTGCAAGTCCTGTCGCCGTCGGGAGCATCAAGTCGTGGCACCTCGTCGCAGAAGCGAGGCCCCCAGTTGCATCCACCGCCTGTCTCCGCGCGTATGCGCTGCTCCTCTGCACGCGGCGCCGATGGTCGCCGAGGCCGGTGCCAGTGGTGGCCTTGTAGCACCCGTGGTAGTCGTCCCGCGTTGCCGCCGGTGACCGCATCTGCAGCAGCCAAAAAGGTGGGTGGGGAGAAGAACGAGAGAGGATATGCATCATGCCAGAGAGAGAAGGGAGTGGCTGAGAAATCTCCCCGTGAAGAGATAAGATAAGGTCGAGGCAAAGCGGTGGGCAGTTACTAGAGCAATAAGAACGGTTGATTTTCATCTGATGTAACGACGCGCGCTCGGCCGGCCTAACTTTCAGCCGGCGTGCCGGTTTCAAACGTTTCCCTTAAACGAGTCCTCGTGATATGCTGCGGACTTGCGGTACCAGTTGGGTTTCGCAGGTTGACCCATAATTACGGTAATGTGGACTATATGGCATTCTCGTAACAGAATGACCCATGATAGAGATCCGATTGATCCAGCCACTTAGGTTTTTTTTTTGAGGTAATGGGCAGCTACACCCTTTCATTCATTCATAATTAATTCATTACAGATAATGGTCCTAATTACATCAGGAAACTCATTAATCCAGCAGGACCAAACATCATGCTCTGCTGATTTCGCCAGAACATGTGTTGCCTCATTACAAGTACGACACATTTTCTAATATCATGGACTATGGCTCCAATAGGGGACCTATCAAAACCTAAACCCTTGACCTTGTTGATCAATAACAGGCAATCAGATGCTACCATGATGTTCCGTATGCCAAGGTTATTGGCAAGGATTAAGGCTTGACGAAGTGCCATGGCTTCTGCTACTTCAGGAATTTGAATTCGTTCAAAGTAACCTCTATTTGCCGCCTGCATCCTTCCCCGGTGATCGTGTATTACCACACCAAAACCCGCTCTTGCAGATTGGGAGAAATTCGCTGCATCCACATTGATAAGCATCGACCCATCCGGCGGCGGAGACCATTTTTGGTTTGACTTCAAGGTCTCACGTCTAATGGAAGTGGTCGAACTAAAAGAATGCATATTGATAAATTCAACATAAGCTTTGATCTTTCCCACCACACGAAGAGGATGATTTAAAGTTTCGCCATTACGGTAGGCATTTTTATTTTCCCATATGTGCCATATTGCCACTACCATAACCATAGAGTGAAAATCTGTAGCATTTTGTATCCACTCTAAAACCCATTGCCTAATGTGAATAAAATTTTTCAGTTTCAAACAAAATGGCATACTCTTTTTTAAGCTCTTTCCAGATTTCGTTAACATAGTGGCACTGCAAAAAACAATGTTCAACCGTTTCCTCCCTATTGCAAAAATGACAATCATACCTTGTGGGTATTGATCTCACTTGAAGTTGAGCGCCTGTTGGAAGACAGTTATGGGTGAGTCTCCACAGAACTACCTTCATTTTATTTGGGCATTGGATTGCCCAAAGTTTCCTCCAAATTTTCTCCATGATCTTCTGATCTGAAATAGCCCCTTTGTCATTTGTACTCCTGTCACTCCAAAAGTTTAGTGTTCTCAGAAAATTATATGCCGACCTCACTGTATAAACACCATCTTTTGTGTGGGGCCATGACACAAAATCTGGGCATCCTTCTGTACTCAACGGTAAGCTAAGGATTTTCTCTGATATATCCTCTGAGAAAATATTTCTAATGGTTTCTTCATTCCACTTGTGTTCACCTTTTATTATCAAAGAACTCACCGTATCATTACCACTTCTAGGAGGAATATGTTGTAGAGTTGTAGGGGCAATACCAGGGATCCAATTATCTTCATATGTATGAATTGTGTTGCCATCTCCCACTCTCCATAGTAGGCCCTTCTGCAGCAATTTTCTCACATATATCAGACTGCGCCATGTATAAGAAGATGATCTCGGACATTTAGCTGTCCAAAAGTCGCCTTCCGGATAGTATCTTCCTTTTAATACCTTGGCACATAATGAGTTCGCATTTGTTAAAAGGCGCCAACATTGTTTACCCAGCATGGCTTGATTGAATATTGCCATGTCTCTAAATCCCATGCCACCTAAATATTCGGTGAGGACAACCACTTCCAAGATTTCCAATGTAATTTCCTTTTTCCATCTTCTACACCCCACCAATAGTTGGAAATAGGCTTTCTCATCTTTTCACAGACACCAATAGGGATCTGAAAACAACTCATTACGTAAGTTGGTATTGCTTGTGCGACTGACTTTAGTAGAACTTCTTTCCCAGCCCTTGACAGAGGTCTATCACTCCAACCATTGAGTCTTTTCCAAAGTCGACCAGTGAGAAAGTTGAAGTTGTTCGTTGGGGATCGTCCCACCCAGGTCGGCTTGCCGAGATAGGTAGCCTGTAGTGTATCATCTTTAATTCCCATCTTCTGCTTTATCCTTTCCTTTATTTGCTCATTGCAGTGGGTGCCAAAAAATATAGATGATTTCTGAGTGTTGATCTTCTGTCCAGACCCTTCGCAATATGTTTCAAGAGCTAATTTTAGAGTATCAATACTCGGAGGGGGATTTTTGGTCTATGGGGACATATGCACCCTATATGGGAAAAAAATTAATAATTCAACAAAAAGTCAAAAATTCCTGAAAATATTTTTGAAATAAACTTGACCTTCTATTGCACTCGTGAAAAATTAAATCCACAAAAAAAATCCCTTTGACTCCTTTTCAAAAAAGGCAAATTTTTGGCTAAAATAGTGTGAATAGTGACCTATAATAGCAAATAAATTTTGTCTTTTTTGCTGTGAGGTCAACTTTGGTTTTTTTTTCGTCAAGATTTATATTCTAGTGCAAAAGTAAGTCAAGTGTTTTGTCAAAATAGTTCTTACCTATTTTGACTTGTTATTAAAATATTATAAAAAAAATCCCCATATAGGGTGCATATACAGCCAGGAACCAAAGTGTATTTCCCATCAATACTCCTATCATCTTCTCTGGTAAAGAACACACTGTCATCAGCAATAGATGAGAAATAGGAGGCCCATCCAAAACAATAAGGTGTGCATCAGGGTAGCCCTCTTGCGTGTGCCACGTCGGACTCAATAAACGCCAATGAACGAACTAGTTGCCGTTTGGATGCTGCCCTCGTTTTCTCCAGTTGCCAATTGGGCGAGGCTGCTGTCAGTGAGCGCGCAGATAACACCTCCCCCAGTCTTGAAACCACTTCCTCTCTCTCTCTCTCTCTCTCTCTCTCTCTCTCTCTCTCTCATTTCCTCTCCTCTCCTCCAGTCCCACGCCCCTCCCCTGCTTCTCTGCCGTCGCCGCCGCCGCCACGGATGAGATGGGCGCTAGTGGGCAGGCTGCGAAGTTGTGGTGGGCGGTGCAGCCACCGTGGCCGTCGGGCTGCGGCGGCCAGCAGAGGACCGCCGCCGACTGGAGCTCCTTCCTCCTCCACCACGAAGCAACCTCTTTCCCCCACGAAGGAACGCCACCGCGTCCGACCTCAACCGTCGACCGAAACCCTAGCGAGCCCCACCCATGGCGCCCTACCCTAGGTCAGATCCCTCCTCCCCTTCCTCTTGGTTTCTTCCTTCTTCCTGTGATGCGTGAGTGAGTGATGTGCAGGCAGCTTCTTTCTCTGCTTTTCTGCTCTCACCCTGTCTCTCTTTTCACTTCTCTGTAGGTGGGTGGTACAGCGGCCAGAGGAGAGCAGAGGAGAGAAGAGGAGAGGAGGTGGAGCAGCCAGCGCCTGGACGTGAGGTGAGCTTCCCATTATAGCTGGCCAAACGGGCCGGCCCGGCCCGGCACAGCACGGCCCATCCTAATCGTGCCTGGCACGGCCCGGCTCACCTAGGCACGATTATTATACGGGCCGTGCCGTGCCAACCCGCGTGCTGCAGCCTGCAGCCCAGGCACGGCCGTATGCTAATCGGGCCGGCCCACCGGCACGCCAGGACCACTAATCTACCTCCTATTTTGCACACTGAGCGTTTTTAGCCTATTTTTACCTGTTGGCCCATATTAGGATACATAAAAAAATATAAAAAAAGTTAATCAGGTCGTGCCGTGCCGGCCCGCGTGCTCGCCCTTCAGGCCCAGGCACGGCCCATGGCGTGCCGCGTGCCGGGCCCGGCCTGTTTAGCACGTGTCGTGCCATGCCAGGCCCGTGCCGTGCCGGCCGTGCTACCGGGCCGGCCCAACTATCCCGGCCCATTTGGCCAGCTATACTTCCCATCGACACCTGCAGTTTTGGACGTTTTTCTTCAGTTTTGGTTCAACACGTTTGTGTGTGTGTGTGTGTGTGTGTGTGTGTGACCTTTTGGTTCAGTTTTTTGGATGACTGAAACTGAACCAAATTGCGTGTGCATGCATCCATTGTATGCATGTATCTACGCATCACATTTTTCTAACTGGACTGCACCACACTCGTGTATTGCCATGAAAATAAAATGTTGTGGTCTGGTTTCATTTCTTAGCTGCTCAAGTGTAACAATCCACACATTGTCCTTCAATCTACCAACCAAGAGATATTGCTACCTATCTATTTGCCACTTGCTTGCATTCAGAAATTATGTTGATTTCCTCTGCTGCAAAAAGTCCATCTTGTGTTATTACGCTTGATTTCTTCATTCAGAGAAAGAACATTGAGGCGTGGGAAGGTCTATTCCCAAATTTCTGTACCAAAGCACATTCTAAGACCTTCTTATGTGGGTGCAAACATACTGCAAGAACTACCCGTCGTGCGCCAAATACACAATGCCGAAGGTATCGCTGGGATGAGAGCTGCTTGCAAACTTGCTTCCCGTGTACTGAACTTTGCAGGAACATTGGTTAAGGTATATTCCTTTTTTCATAGATAACTAGAATCCTTTTATACCTAAATCATCTGAAGACTCTGCATTGTACACTTAATAACAATAATTATTTCACTGTCATTTCAGCCATCAATTACTACAAATGAAATCGACATGGCAGGGCATCATATGATAGTTGAGGCGGGTGCTTATCCTTCTCCACTTGGCTATGGCGGATTTCCTAAAAGTATCTGCACATCAGTAAATGAGTGTGCCTGCCACGGACTACCTGATTCAACACAGCTGCAGGTTCTGTAGGATGAAATGTGCATCTTCCTTTCTTTATTTTTGTGTCATTTCTATGTACCGTGGGATGAAAAATGTTGTTTCTTCTGCAGAATGGAGACATCATAACTATTGATGTAAATGTGTTCCTAAATGTAAGTTCTCTCTCCTAAGATTGTGCATATGGTTAGTTGGTATGTTTGGCATAGAGTCGGATTTTGCTGACAAATTGCTTGCAAGGCTGATAGGTTTATTGATATGCCTCATATGCAAGCTCCTAACCCACTGTAGCAGTTGTCTGTTGTGGAGATGACTGGGTTCCATGGCTAACATAACACATTTTACCTGTTATGTACTCCATCTGGTTGGATAGCAAATTGCATTTTAATGCTGATTCAATGCTTATCATTAAGTATTTCTTATGGAGAAAGAAAGCAGAGTATGCCATTTCAGCGCACTACGATCAATCCTGTGTCTGGGAGGAAGTTCTTCAGAACAAGTGCTTAAACAAGTACAATCACACTGCTATCGACGGGCAATTTTACTTTTATCAGTTTGAGGGCCTGTGAAGTTTAATGCCTCTGGCCAAGATCCTGTTCTACCGAGTTGTAAGTAGCATTTACTTATGTTTGATAAATTCTTCGATGAGTAAATGAATTGATCAAGTGTATAACAATTGTGCAGATGTGCCTGAAGGTTCTTTCATGCCTTTGGTTCAATGAGGTCAACCGTCTCACCTCACGTGATAAATCGAGTTTTCCATACACTTGCTTGAAGCTCATGAGAATGAACGCTGGAAGATATTTTCACCTAAATATGTTTAAGGTAATAAATATTCTGATAGAGCATTCCTTCTGCTGGCCGAGCTCCTCCTGATATGCTGTATTTTATCTTAGTTAAATCTTAATAAATAGTTACCGTCAATGGTAGTACATGCCTATGCAAAAAGAAAAAACGTCGAACTTGTGTTATCTATGTTAACATTTCTTTTCATCGTATCAATGCTTACACAGGTTCACATAGAATCTTAATATGGTTATTTTCATTTTATTGTTAAAACAGGACTGTGAAAGAAGAGCAGTACCTAAACTGTTCCATCACCAAATTAAAGAAACTACAGATCCACCCCCGACAAACCTTCGTACTGATAAAAATCATTCATCGATGCCAATCTAAGACTGCCATTGAGGAATTGAGGGCGGGGATACTCTATTCATTTTGATGCATGTACCATGCATCCAGTCTGTGGTGGGGGTGGAGCAGCGAGGCTCGAGAACCCAGGCAGCGGACGCCTCATGACTTGGAGGAGCGACGATACAGACAAGGAGCAGTAGCCTCATGGATCTACAGGGAAGCGTCATCGAGGAATGGCTGATGTCAACGTGAGCTTCTGTCAATCCTTCTCCCCCTTTAACTCCTGATCTGTGTCACTCCCTCTCTCTCTCTCTCTCTCTGCCCATATATGCAAAGACCGCTCTGTTCATTTCATTCTCAATGTTGTTACCGTGTTCATGTTTTTTTGATAATTTGTATGCACTTTGTAAGCATATAAATGTTTTTTCTCCTATCATTTTTGTTGACATGATGATAGGTTCTGGAATTTTGGAGTTAACAAATCTGTTTACATATTTGTTTGTCAGGCACACATAGCTCCGGCTGCCGCGGATAGGCAGTACTCAACGAATGATATCCTCCTGACTCTGACTGAACCCTGTTTCATGCAAACATGCTCTGTATTTTTTTTGGTAGGAACATTAAGCTCTAAAGACATAATTATTCAGACTGCAAGATTTTTGCTTTGGGTTTCAGAAAAACTATACAGACCTGCTTGTTGTAATATCCGTGTTACGTATTTAGTGTCAAATACAAAGTTCAAATATCATTTGATACAAGGAACAGGCATCCGAACTTTATAAAAGTAGATATAGCAAACATTAGGCTTGATTGCATTAATAATTTATATAGTTGCAGATGAACTTACTTCTGGTACTAATCCTTTGATGCTTTTCTTTTTATTTTCACCAGTACAAGATTAAGCTTGACAGTGAAATCTTGGATAGTATGTAACACCCTTTCTGCATATTTAGAATCTGTATGCAAACTCACACCAGGTGCCAGGTAAGCTGGTTTAATTTTACTTTGGTTTTACTAACCAAATTAGTTTTAATAATCCAGTTCCATTTTTGTCTTCCCTGCTAATTTGTGCCTTTCTGTGTCAGATGCATCATAGTTAATAAAAAAACTTCTGCTGTAAATAATGGAGGTACAGCTCTTTAGTAGTTTGCTTAATTTGATTTTATCACCTCAAGTGTTTTACACAAAATTTGAACTATGTGCATCTACTGGTGAGTCCTTGGCCCTCGCTCTATTTCAGTTTTCAAGATGGAAGAATGTCTTAAAGTTTCAACTACTATTTACTAATTGTAGGTTCCTTTGAAGATTCCGCCTAATCTTTAGAAACAGAAAATTAGAAGTATATATTGTCCGCTAGATGCAAGCATAAGTAGCTTAAAACTGAAACGCCGGCATCTTGGACCTCCTCCAGGGTTTGCCAGGCTACCAAGATCAATAATGTAGCGGCATGAGGAGGGAATTTGATCAAGGCATAAGTAGGTAAATACCCCTAGCTATTTTCTTTATTATATTTTGCCCTTCTCTCACTTTATTCTATTCTAGCTTTTAGTGATTGTATAATTGAAACATTCAAACATACATTTACTTATGCTTCGGAGGATAAGACTTCTATAAATACACCCACCCATGCCTAAGATTTTAGCAAATAAATCTTGGCTCATTAAATTTTGTTTTTAATGAAAGGAACAATTTCTTCAATGACAAACTACATCTTTTTCTTTGTTAGGCTATAGATAAGATAGGAATGTTTCCTCACAAATATCCTCTCTAATCGACGAGAATAATTGAGGATGTAACAATGTGAACATTGGTTGTTTATCGACACAGTACTAATGTTGCCTTAATGCACAATAAATTGAAATATCCTTCTCTCAGTATATGCCTCTACAAAAGGATGCCTAATGAATTCAATGGTTTGCCTTATTTTTACAAAAAATTGGACCATTCTAGCTCATTGAGATAGTTTCTAATTTAGTTTGTTGATTATATTTTATTACTACAGTTTTACTGGGCTGTGTCCTCATGGATTTCAAGTTTCGTTGGAGATATGTCATCTGCCAATGTTAGAAGAACAGGTGCTTCCATAGAAAAAGGTCTTCGTCTCGATTCCTTCCCTTTGAAGGAAACTCCAAATCGAGTCATCCGTGACATGTGTAGGCTTGCTAAAAGCTGACTCATGTCTTAGAGATTTTTAGTAGTGAATTTAAGTGCATGGTTACTGATATGGCTATGGAATGCATGGGTTGTACAACAACTAAGTTTGTAGAGTGAATTCATGTGCTCATAAAGGAAGTGGTGAAACCCAATAAACAATATCATATGGATACATCTTAAGAGGTGCACAATTGGCGTATATTTCGATTGTGCTCCTTCAGGCCATCTTTGATGCTCAGATTGTGATTTCATTGACATTCACATATTCTTGTTGTTATTGTGTATGTGCGGCTATTGAGATAGGTCTCTTATATGAATGTTAGATGTGATTTCTAAATTCATGTTGTAACTATTTCTGCCTTGCTAAGATGAGATCAGGGACTGTTGGTCATTTCTAAAGATCAGGACCCAACCAGCCTCATTTCTAAAGATCAGGACCCAACCAGCCTCATTTCTAAAGATCAGGATCCAACCAGCCATCCTAATATGAGTGTCGGATATTGGGAAGTTTGAAGAAGTCTAACATGCATAACATTAGGAGCCCCCCCTCTCCCAGTCGAGATTAGGCAAGGCAGATGGGAAGCAGCGGCACCCCCTCTCCCTCGAGCTCTAGATCCATGGTACCAGCAGCGAGGTAAGCGGCGACACCTCCTCTTCCATCATTTTTTCACCATCTCCGATTAAGTATTAGATTTGCTTGGGTCTGTATGAAAGGTTTACTAAAATTTTGAATGATGTCCCATATACTTTAGTGCTTATATGTTTGTCTTAAATTCTTATGGCCTGATCTCTGTCCATAGGAATGTGACTATTGGCTCCGTTGTCTCTTAAAAGGGAGAATGGATAATGCAAATTTGGTGACTAAACTTGGAGACAAGCTCCCCGTCTCCTCTGCATGTATCCCTGTCTCTGTTCTTAGGAGACATGTTGAAGAGTGTCTTCCTCTTGTTGCTTTGTAGGGCACGTCTCAGAATCCACCATGTCAAGTAATGGTAGCCAAAGATCTCCATGGAACTGAGTGGCATTTCTTGGTGACTTTACAATTTGAGTATTCAGCTTGAAGCCCTTAAATTTCCAGTCCTTGTATTCTTATTGTTTTGGTGTAGCACTTCATGTAACAACTGAATGCTGAATTCATTACTTCATGAGTATGTGTGGCCTCTCTCCCTCTGATTCTATATCATGTCTTTCAGTGTTTTGTGTTTTAGATTCCCTAATCTCCTTGTATTTGAGTGTCATTTATTTAGCTCCTTCAAAATTTGTAGTGCAACTTCCTAAATGCCATGTCCATGTGTTACCAAAGATAGAAAAAGAAACTGGAATGAGCGGCTGCCAACCTAGCACCGCACAACTTCCTCTCAGGAGGCGCCACAAGGTGGCGCCCCAACCCCTAGTTTCTACCATTGCGGATCCCTTTTAATTCACCAGAAGCTTCTTTTTGCTACAGTAAACAAGATAAGCCTTCAGCACACAACAAGAAAAGGTAGGGGCTAATTGGATCCCACTGCCTAATGCCTCTAGTGGGTTTAAAAGATTGAGTTAATTCTCCATTAACTCTAACCACATATTTCACAGAGGTTACACATCTCATAACCGTCTCGACCCATTTATCATTCAAACCCATTTTCAGTAAAATACCGTTGAGGTAGTTCCACTCCACCCTATCATAAGCCTTTGTCATATGAATTTTGAGTGCAAAGAATGGGTGTTTGACTTTCTGCTTTCTTATTGTGTGGAGACATTCATAAGCTATAAGCACATTATCAGTAATTAGTCTTCCTAGCACAAAAGCACTCTGTTGTTTAGAGATTATTTTCGGCAAAAAAAGTTTGAGACGATTGGCTAAAACTTTGGAAGCAATTTTATACATAACATTGCACAAACTTATTGGCCAAAAATTAGAGAGCACATCAGGAGAATTTACTTTTGGGATTAAAACAATTACCGAATCGTTGAAGCCTTCTGGAATTTCCGATCCCAAAAGAAAACCCTTCAGTGCGGCACAAACATCCTCTTCTAACAGCTTCCAATGTTTTTGGTAAAAAAAAGGGCAGGGAAGCCGTCAGGTCCAGGGGCCTTGATGGGCCCCATTTGGAAGAATGCGGTCTTGATTTCTTCATTTGTATATTCTCGACAGAGGGCTTCATTGATTTCTTCGTTCACTTTAGAAGGAATTGCTTGAAGCACCGCATCTAATGAGGTACAAGGTTAAGAGGTGAACAGATTAGCATAGAACTCATATACCATACTCTTGATAGCTTTGTGATCTTCACATCTTGTT